ACGGGTCATATGAAGTGACTTAGTTGCGTGTTTTGGTCCAACGCTGAGCCGGGAATGGCCTTGTACGGCCAAGTTTGCACTTTACACCCACAATTTCTTAGCAAAATAATGGCCTTCAACGGCTTATAATTTCGTCCAGAAAAAAGCTCTGCAGATAAGGAAAACAGATTTAGAGTCAGCGTTTTATGCTGCATCTAATGTTATGCAGCTCGTGTGGATTGGTCACTTCGACTTCTGACCATTCCCTTGTAAGCATAAGTAGAAGCTTATATGATGGTTTAGTAAAAATTTATCTCCTAACTTTCGCCCAGACATTAAGCGCCCGAGTAGAACAATCAGATCACTAGTACGGTATACTCACATTCTATTGAAAGAAAACAAACACGTTTCGGACCGCGAAATCTCGCGCGGCGAAAAAGAGTGTACTTTCAGCCGTTAGCCAACAAAGGAACCTTATTTTGTGGACTGTGTGCTACCTCTGTAAAGGATATTCGTTGACGACAGCCCCGTTTCGTGCATTCACACCACCGTGGGCGTGCTTTTTTAAAGCCTTTCCAGCTTTACAGTATGCTACAGCGCGCAGGGAATTCGCAGCTCGCAGCATCCCTGTCCTTTAAACTCTTCCGCATTTTTCTTTTTCTCATCTTTTTTTCCTTTTTAATCTTCAGTTCAGGCACTTGCTCATCAGTTACTCGTTCTCCTTTTCTTTGAAGTTGTCTCGGTCGAGCATCCTACAAGTTCTGCTTTGTGGATATTGAAAGAGCAGGAAAAAAAGTTTTAGTACAGTTATTGAATTCATGCTCCTTTTTACATACCATACAAACATTTTCGGAATCGTGAACTATCATTACGGCATAGTTAGGGGAGGGGGAGGGGAAGGAATGTGCTTTCTTCATGAGCAGTGATGGCTATCATGCCTTCTCCTCAAACAAGACCACAATGATTATTTTAGCACACCTACATGTCTCCTTGATGTAGAAGTGCTGAAACAGCCACTTCAGCAGTCTCTCTTGAGAAAAAAAGGCAAATCATTATGAAACAAACAAAAACATTGCACTCCCAATCATAGCCACGATATCCGCCATTGCAACTTTGAAGAAAACTCATTATTCCTTCCGATTCTTTCCGGAGCAATGGTTCTGCGTGTATGAGAATGTGTAACTGCCTAAAATGAAAATTAAGGAGAAAAAACGATGTAAAATACTCAAACAACAAAAAGAAGTTAAAGGACGGGCATGCTGCGAGCTGTGAATTCCCTGCGCGCTGTAGCGTACTGTAAAGCTGGAAAGGCTTCAAAAAGGCACGCCCGCGATGGTGTAAATGCACGAAACGGGGCTGTCGTCAACGAAAATCCTTTAATCAGCATGTCAGATAAGCTCCATACCCAAAGTTTTGAGTGAATTAGAAGTGTTTGAATTTTGTCGCTTGAGAAGAACTTTCGTGTTTTGCTGAAGAACAGGGACAAGATCTCAATTCCTGATAGTACCCAAAAGTATCTATGTTGGTACACATCAATGTATAGACTAGGGTTTTCTTCCTCGAAAATGAAGCAAAGAAAAGCTGCGACGTCGCACGCGTCGTTCGCGTTGCCGCACTTTGTTGCAGCTGTTGTTCGATTTCTCCTTATATCTCTTAAACAAACATTGGCGGTACAACTCTACAGAATTATTTGGAAAGTAGGAGCTTAGAGCTTTGACCTGATAACTTTGGACCGACAAAAAACTCCTGTGAACGTCAAAATGATCCTTCAAAGCAGCGTGCTGCACTATGTGCAGCACCGGTACGAAACGTGTTAAGAAAGAGTTTAGCATCATGGATGGCCATGGATCAACTATGTTTACTGGGCCAACTGTCGACTGAGGAAGTGACCGGGCATATTAGGGGATATGGGATTTCACCAAAAGACATTCAATCAAGTCACTGCTCAGAGAACATCACAGTGACTTGGAAGTAAAAGCTACTCTAGATTGGTGCCGTATATAATAGCAGCTGAGTCTCTGACCACCTTCTGCACGCAGTTAAGGGCAGCGTCCAGGCTGACCTGAACCTATGGGAATTTTACGAAAGCGCTTTTGGGGCCCTAACTAAGGCACTGCTCAAGCGGCAGCGCAGGTAGTGCTTAAACGGCTGAGATATTTTCCGCGAAACTGGACCCCGCGATCGTATTCGCATGGATTCATGGCAGTTTCGCGCCAGGAAACACGCTTTGCGCCATGAATCCATGCGAAAAACGATTGCGTGATCCAGTTTCGAGGGAAATATCTCAGCCATTGAAGCACTACCTGGGCTGCCGGTTGGGCAGTGGTTTAGTTGAGGCCCCAAAATTACTATCCACGTTAGATCCCCATGTGTCAAGACTTGCCTGGACGCTGCCCTTAAGGGCAGCATGCGTTGACATTTCCCCGTGGGAAGCGCAGCTTTGAAGAAACCTACGTATCATGAAGCTGCAGCGTTCTAGATTTCATGCGGTCCAACTATCCGCAAGTGTTTCTACTACCCTTTGCTATAAAGTATTATATAGGAGCAAGAAGTTGCGCGAGTCGCTTATTCCAATTTTTTGTGTGGATTTGCTGATTTCCGGCGGCCAACCATCTGTTTCTTTTGAAGTCAAGTTTTTTGTTCGAAGTCAATGAGAACATTAAAGGTTGCATTGATTATATGACCCAACAATGACAATCGTGCAACTGGTAAGAACAAAATGTTTTAGAGTTACGAACATTGCGATGAACCGAAAGTCAAAATTGGGTTCATCGGAAGTCTCAATATTTTAACAACTAGTTTGTTCTCATCAGTAACATGCTTACAATTGGCGCTATTCTTTAGATAATCAGAACATTGTATTGCTTTTGCAATCGGGTAACAAAACTTTGAAGAAAAGAGCTTGGCCACCGGGATTATCAAGGGATCAAGCAAAAAATTTTTGCTCCTGCACAAAATGTTCCAAGTAAAAGGCGATAGAAACGTTTGCGGATAGTCAGGCCACGTAAAATCCAAAATTGGAGAAGAATATGAAGCTTTCTTCGAAAAGCGTTTCTGTCCCCAGCGGAGATGTTAATGCATGTGGTAAAGGCAGTGTGCGGGCAAAAAGTCGATTTTGAGATTTTGTGCTTACCTATTCACTATGCTGAATCCGAAAATCCACACTGGAAAGCGCAAAAACGGCAAAAAAGGGCTCTAACGCAGGAGGGAAATCGAAAGTGGGCGAGGTCTTCCCCACTGTGATTTTCGCAGGTCTTCCCCACTGTGAATTTCGCAATTTCGCAACCTCGCAGGAGCGATCTTCCCAATTCCTCTAGCGCCCTGAGATCTCCACCGGCAGGTGCGAATGCATGACTTGAAATCGGAACCGAGAAGATCGCTCTGGAAGCTGGGAGCGTGAATTCACAGTGGGAGGACCCCGCCCACCTGCTGATTACCCTCCCGTGTTAGAGCCGTTTTTCGCCGTTTCTGCGCTCTCCAATGTGCATTTTCGAATTCAGCGTAGCGAATACGCCCGGGTAAGCAAAAAATCTCAAGATCGAGTTTTTGCCCGGACACTGCCTTTAACTTGAATATTGAAGGCAATATCCGGGCAAAAGCTCGACTTTAGAAAGTTCGCTTAGCGGGGTTTTCCGCGGCGCTGAATCCGAAAATTCACATTATAAGGTCCGAAAACGGCGAGAACATGCGTTTTCTAAAGCCCTACAATTCAAAACTCGACGGTCCTCGCCAAGGCTGAGACGCAGTTTCGTTGCGGGACCCTACAATTTTGGCTATGGCGGCATGCGTACTCTGCCGCATAGCAGAAATTCAAAAGCTCAGAGGACCCCGCCCCAAGGCGTGAATTTCCCCACTTCCCGATCGTTTTTCTTGCTTTAGAATGAAGGTTATGTCCTTCTTGCGCAGTGCAGTGTCTGAGGGCACTTTCGCATGAAACTGAAATCTTAACAACCCACTTTGTTCGGACACTGCTTTGAGAGCACGCGAGATCCTGCGAGGTTTAGTGCATGGGGATATCAATGGTTCTTATTATATCCTTATATCCTCTTTATCCTCTTTGTGGTGCAACACCAAGAGATGAGCAAATCAGTTCGTACACGCAAAGAATTTTAATAACGCTGCGATAGCTTCTCTAAAGTACTCCATATTCTTCCATATCCTCTTTATAGATCCTTTTTTCTTCAAAATCTCTAATCACGCTTACTTCCACAACTTCATGTTTTTCGTGCTAAAACATGTCCGAGTCTAACGTCTATGAATTCTCCTACATAGGTATCTACGACGATGATGTCTCTCACATCTCAAAGTTTTTTCAACCAGTGCAGCGAATCTGCTCTGATAGACGCACAGTTGTCTATATAGGGCATTTGAAAAATCGTGACGATGGCGCGACCGCGCGCGACACGCACGCCACTTCCGGAAATTGCATTTTCTTGGTTTTCATCTCTAGTCGAATGGTTTTTTGCTTACTGTGATAATATTTAGACATTGGAAGCGACTAAGCTGAACATTGAGGTGATGCCTTCTTGTATGAGAGTTTTATGCTCCGATGGGCGCAAAGTCCGCAGTAGAATCCGTTGTCACGATTTTATAAATGAACTGTACCTCAAAGTATCTATAAGTGTCACACCCGCTTTCACATCCAAAGTGTTCTAAGGAAAAGCGTGTTAACTAAAATTGACTCTCCTTTTTTTCCAAAAATTTTCAGCTGACGAGAAAATGATCTGAACCTGCTTTGGTCAATCCATATAAACTGTTTATCATCGCACTTGCCTTGAAGCGCTGATATCAAGTATTGTTTGTATGGGCTGAGCCACTATTTGGAAGAAATTAGGAGCGTTCAGATGCGAGTACTTGTTCACGTTCCAACGAATAAAGTTTGTTAGACAGCCTGAGAAAGCGTAATGTCCACAACATCAACCCTAGTTAAGTAAATGCCATCTTAGCTGCTCCTTGGAACTCAAATAAAATAACTTTCGTCGCAAATGCTAAATTATGATTTAATACCGGTTTGAGTTTAGGAGCTTTCTGCTGAGAAGTTTATCTCAAATCTTGACCTATCTGGAAATCTGAATCTGTCAGAAAACTGCGCCAAAGATTTGGAAATCCTCTCCAATGGCACAAAAACCTTCCTCGATAATGTAATCAGGACACGGGAGTTTGGAAAAAGAGATATTGACACAAAGTTAATCATTCCCGGTAAGCTTTTAAATCTTAGTAGCTCAAAACAATCTGACACAAAGCCGATACTAGTAGATACTAATAAAAATCTACCGCTGCCTTATACAAAAATTATATATCGAATCATTCTTATGGAATGATGTCAATCATGGACATCGTTTTGACTGCTTGGGTTTGGGCTTTTGAAGTGAAATCGCGAATCTGCTCTTGAAAAATGAGAGCTTCAACCTTTTTTTCATCAAGAAAAAAAAATGATTCATTCAAACTCACGTTTTCATGGACATTTCAGAATTCAAGAGCATTTCGAATTCTGAAATACCCATGGAAAAGTGAGTCTAATTGCCTGTTCATTCATTTTCATGAGTGTTTGTAATTTTTTGGGAACTTTCCGGTATAGTTTCGTATTCGATTGCATGGTTCGAAAAAATAAGAATTTTTTGCTGTCAAAATGATAAAGATGTCGAGGATAATATACTATCCTTGAAGAAGATATCGCACCTCAGCTCGAAGAGGTGCGAGAAAACCTCCGGCAAGAGTTTAGATGACGAGCGTAGTTACTGTACCATCTGCAGTGGCCTTGTCGGCAGCTTCGGCGGCTGACTGCGGCAGCAGTCGACTGTCCGGATTACCACTTGCACGCCTCCCTCAAGAAAGTAATCAAGCTTTTGCGGTTTGTTTGCTGGCTGTCTCAGTGACACGTCCTTTGCCTTAGCGGCTTAGGATTTTACAACCGCCGCAAGTTGAGTTGGTTTGCGTAGGTATTCTCTGGATATTTCAGACTTCCGCCAGCCCTCAATGGCCTTTCCTTCGATAGCCGTAGTCCACATATAGACATAATTTACTAAGAACCTCCCTGTCGCCCAACGCAACCATCAACGCCCATATTCGCTGCCGCGACTAATATCACGTTTTTGCAGATGTATCTGAATGCTGCACCTAAGAGAAGTTCAGAATTTGGCACAAGTTTTGATATAGTAATTTACTTTCACACTTCGAAGAAGGTAGCTTGTTACAGTGTTGCAAAAATCGAAAGTATCAAGCTGAATGGGGTTTTATACGGCGGGAAAAGTTTTTGTGCAAACAAAAAATTCAGGATTTCCGGAAATTTTCAATAGGATGGATAAGTCTGTAATCTTACTATTAACACTTACCATTACGGTGTTGCTTTTGGGATAAGAAAGTGTGTAAGGCTAGTAGATTTTTATTATACCTATGCGAGTGCTTGCGCGTTTGCACGTTAATATGTTTCAACATCGAAATGCTATAAAAAAGTTAGAATCAAGAAAAAGTCCTCATGTCAAATATTTTCAGTCATAGACGCATGTGGAAAACTCAGTCCTGGAATACTTCGAGGGCGTTCTAGATTTATTGGGTCGTTTGAGGAGTGTATGGCCATAGATTACTATAATGAACAGGCACTTCGAAGAATCAGGGGAGGATATTTCAGGTAGAGTTATACACCAACTTTCAATCTACGGGCAATCCCAGTGAGACTGGCTTTTAAGCGTTTGAGCAGTGTATTTTCGATTTTTGTGTTTTAATGTCATGCCAGATTTTCCAGAGTCTTGCTTCAAATACCTGTTGCAAATAGCACGAAAAATTTTATGTGGGATGTATGTTTACCTGCATCTTGTACAGGGAAAGAGTTGCACACAGCATTTACAGATGGTAAACTCTATTCGTTTTGCAGAGAGTAAAAAATGCTTCATCGATTTAATGAACTGAGGTGGAGGCAACTTGACTTAAGCTTTCCGTGGAATGGTATTTTCTCATACAGAGCAGAGAGACTCACAGACAGACATAAGTCATTTAGCTTTTTATGAGGCTATTTGTCGTATTCGCATCGCTCAGTCTCTGTTATTATACAAACATATCACCACTCCACTTAGATACATCACTATCATCCTTGTCCACTTCCATAAACCTATTTTATTTTTCCCCTATCCAACTTCTACACACTGCTACTGGGTTAGTCCATAACTCGTGCACCAAATCAATTCATTCCGCAATGCATATCCTTTTACATTCTACATAGGTTTCGGCACAATATTCAAGAGCAAAGCAAGTGCAAGATTGCTCGCAAATATTAGCAGCAAACAATGTATGTGAAGTTCCAAGCCAGAAATCAAAGGTTCCAAACGCCCAAAGTCGAGAGCTTCTAGCTATGTCCAAAAGTGACTACGAGTTACCTTCTCACCCAAGCAAATACATCTCATGTAAGACATTGCTGTATTTTTTTTTCTCGGCCAGTTATTGGAAATCAAAATTCTTGTGCAATCGTGAAAGCAGTGCTAAGCTGTTGCTACAATAGCAACAGTAAACTGCAAACCTTCAGAAGTGCAACCGTGAATTGCCTTCACCTGCGGCGGATTCTTCATGCAAATTTCAGTATTCCTCTGAAGCTAGCTTTTGTGAAGTGCTGAAAATTTACGGTTGTACTAGTAGAGTTGTAGTATGCGACAACCTCTGAGGGAACAGCTCAGTACTGCTCAAATTTACGATGTCGATTTTTTGATTTATAGTCTAGGAAGAAATGAGCAACTGTAAATGCGAACTATGTCGATTGTATATGCTTGCGTACTTAAGATCTAACCGGTTTGATTTCCTCTCAATTCTTCGATATGGATCCGACTTTTCCGATTTTTTCGTCTGTCGGTTTTGATTCGATTCCTGTCCCGTTGTTCGTATTCAGCATGTTCAATAAGCATCCCCTTGTTCTGGTTCGATTTAGAGATGTCTTTACGTAGCATACGTACTTAGAGAAATACAGTACATTTACCCACAAACGGACAATGAGCTTTTGTATAAGATACGAAGTTAGAAGCTAGAACTTGAAACAAAATTCGCTTTGATTAACCATTTCCCAAATCTAGCGTATGAGGGGGAGTAAAGAAAGGAGAGGAACCTGGACGCTTCTTTCCCTTGATGCGCTACTGACTTTCGCGTATGGCGTTCTGAAATATGAAAATGTGCAGTTGGCTTACGCGTGGACATTACGAAAGTTTGTGAGGAATGCAGAATTCAAATTTTGCGAGAAAATACCGTTTTTTAGACTTCAAGTGCCAAGCCTGCTTTGAAACACCTTCACCATTTCCTCGACAGCGCTCTTTCACTGCTGTTGTATATATCGCGGTGTCACATCGTTGACCGTTCATGTCAAGCAATTCTTTATCGGGTGCGCAAAAAATTCTTGCGCTGTATGAGATCGTGTTAAAGCATATCAGTAAGTGATGGGTGTGTCTTGACTTATTTTTTTGCTAAGCAGGACTTAAAGCAGGCGTGTAGGTGTATATGTATGGACGAGTATATACAGTATGTCCTCTAGATTCACTCATTAAAACGATATCCAGTGGCCGTATTTATCATTGCTAACTTGAGGTAAAATGAACCTTGGGGTAGGATTATCACTCAAAACCGTATTCATCAATGTACCTTGAGGTAAATGCTCAAGGTTAGATCAACCTTGAAAATGATTTCATGTGGAATGGATGACACCTTGAAGTGAATTCTACCTTAAGGTAGCCTTATCAGCGATAAATCCGTATTCATCAAACTTGATGCCTTTACCTCAAGGTACATTCACAATAGAAACTTTTACCCTAGCAAAAGGCAAGGTTAGGAGTGATACCTTCAGAAATCTACAAGGTTTTAGAGACTGATTTCCCATATAAACACTGCAGTGACAAAACTGAATACATTGCAGTAATTTTGTCTAATTTCGTTGAGATTAGCTAGAGTTATGGGCATGTAAAGTTAGTACTACATTTCTCTTCAATCCTATGGGTATGTTGTGAGTGTTGTAAAAGTCTTGTGAAACTGATGTATCGAACCAGAGAAAGTCAAACACATCCTTTATTTGCTCCAACAGCATTTTGAGCATCATAGATCCTATCAAACAGAGCATAGCATACTGAAACCACAAACTAAAATTGCATAACCCAAAAACAATCGCTTTGCAAGCTCTGTATTCAAGAAAAGCCAGTGTTGACGCTCGTGTAACGCATTTCTTTAGTCTTGTTCAATTGCTCAACTCAAAATCAACTGAAGTAGGCATCAGGTGAGCATCGCAGCAGAGAATTTTGTAAATTGTACTTAGAAGCAGATATTTTCCCGGATAGAGTCTTAAAACCCAGAATTGTTAAATATGTGAACCGTATCCTCTCCAATTCACCAACTGTAGCCTCTCACACTCTGAAGACATAAGTATCCTCGCGTAAATCCCATGCAGATACGAAAAAAAGCTATTCAACGCAAGTACGCCATGCCGTTCTCTGAGAAAACGTCAGTGTTTATCATGCTGGCACAGGTTATTCTAACCTTGAGAATAAATTTTGATGAATACGAAATTATACCTTGAGGTAAATTGTACCTTGAAGTAGCTTCTCAAGGTAAGTTATATTGCAGTAGGGTTCATTCTAATCCCACCACTGCAGGCGAAGCAGCTAGAACAGTACGTGCCATAAACTCATACATTCTTCATATCTCAGGCTCTGAAAACGAGCCGCGGAAAATCATGTAGTGTATGTGCCAACTCTGCTCAGCCGCTATGGCGCAGCCACCCGCGGCCTTTGGGTGCAACTGTATTAAAATACACTCGAAACGCGATCTTCCATAGGACGGCTGAGCGCGGATCATAAGTTTACTATAAATTTCCTTCCCCTCTGCCCACAATTTTTAAATCGAAGTAATTTTCAAGGGCCACAGCTCGTCCGCTTCCAGCATCTGAGCTGGCACGTTTGTGCCATTACGACAATCGTTGGTTTTGAATTTGGTAAAGCTGATTTTGGTAGATAATCCTCAGAATTTTGCTTTCGCTAAAGTAGAAAGATCATGGCGTCCACGTAGCTTCGCATTCAGTTTGTAACAATTCCCTATGTTTCTCCAAATATTTTCTTACTCTTATTCATACTTCTCTTTTAGCTGACATACAGCTGTACCACGTCAGAACACATCACATCTAAGAATCCGGAATACTGTTTTGATAAAACTTTCAGCAGGGATTACGAAACTGGAGAGGTACTGGGATCACATTTGTGATCGGAAAACTGGAAAAAAACCCCTTAACAAATTTTTAAGCAACTTTGAAATTTTGACCCATTTCCCTTTCGAAAATTTCAACTGTATGAAACTGACATTCTTTTCGTGGCATACCTTTAACCCCTGGGGCAGTACAGTCGTCTACTCTGTGATTTTGATACCGTAGAATAAACCAGTGGCCCAATGGAGGGGAGGAGATAGTCTGAAAATTTGTAAAACTTGCTTACATGAGTTGTGAGAATTTGCAAGTGAGTTGTTTGCGCTTGTAAGTGATTCCATTATTTTTCGAATTTTTTTGGCACATTTTGAGTTAGCCTTATGAAAGAATATTTTTGGCGGAAGACCCCAAAGAGACCGCAAATATTTCAGGAAACAATATTTTTTCGGAGTGCATGGCTAGCATTGTCTCTGGACTCACGCGCATGCAACTTAAGAATCCCTCCCAGCAACTCTAATTGTGCGAGTCATATCATCGCGTATTATGTTGTCTTGGTAATCGAGCTGATAAGAAGAAAATTCGGCACAGAGTCTAATGCAGTACCTTTGCAAATTTCAAAGGTTAATACCTTGTTAGGATTCGGAATACCAACGACGCCGGTGCGTTTAAGGAAGAAAGCGCGCTCCAATCAAACAACCTACGCAGCTGGCTGGATCAAGGGGGAAATCGTAGAATAGTGACAAAGGCTAACTCGTTTCAAGAATGCCCATTTGCCACCCTCATGTTGGGCTCCGCTTCGTTTATTATCATTGAGGCAGCTGGCGGTTGGCTCTTGAGGTTGAAACATTTCGGATAACTCTAGTTACAAGCGCTTCTTCGGAGACAGATCTCATTCTTACAGATAACTTTTTGTTAGAAGAACACAGATTATGGTGTCAAAGATGTATGATCTTTAGGATAATACACTAAAGACGGCATTGATATCTCTTTCAAGATTGTCAGGCTGTGATTACCTACTTGTTCTCTTTGTTTTTCTCGTCCGCTCCTCAAGCGGCGCAACATACGCAAAGCGAGCATTACGTGCGAACGGTCCTAAAGTATATATACCCACAGACGAAAGTAGAAGAGAATAATAAGGAAGTTTTTACACACCGCTGAGAGTTATGGCATGCCTTGAATGAGCATCACTACACATCATGCAAGCTGAGGTAGAATTAACCTTGAGATACTTTGATGAATACGAAACAGTCTTGAGGTAAAGTGTACCTTGAGGTACATTTTACCTAAGGTTCATTTTACCTCGGGTAGCAATGATGAATACGGCCTCAGCTGTCAGCGATGAACTAGGAGTTCATTTTAAAGCAAGAAACTAGCAGAAATGCGACAGTGATGATTTCACCAAACTGGTTGATGAGAGAGGGTTCGGCATTGAGCTTTACAGTTAAGAAAATCAACGATTGCCGTTCATAATAAAGCTCTGACAGATTTCTTTGTTCTAAAGCATCTCCACACCCCAAAGTGATGAGTGAAGTCACTAGTGCCAGATTTATTTACTGAAGATTTTTCTTTCTCTAAAATTATACTTCGCAGCAAACATATAGGGGAAAGATACCAAATTGCAGTAACAAGTTGAAAAGTGTTGTATAAAGCGGGTCTTTAAACGTTAAATTCGCCCTAATTTTCGGCGAACCATTATGTGAAAGAATACGTGGCTGGAAACCCCAAAGTGGTGAAGCCTCAAGTAGCAAAAATCAAAAAGCTGTACAAAAACACTTATGTGTTAACACTCACTTATTGTCAGTAGCTTTTCCTTTTCCTTGTAACCGAGGTTAATCAATACAGAATCTGTTACTACTTTTATCCTTTTTTCTACTCCGAGCTCACAATAACACTGGGAATAATACCATTTCAAAGAAAACATGATTTGGAAACTGCATGTGATATATGAGTCACTAGCTGGCTTGCCCGGCTCCGCCGGGCCTGCCAGCTAGACCCGTGTACGTATGTTCCGAATAGAAAATTCCATTTCTGAACCGATTGGGACCGAACTTTGCACACATACACTTCGGGCCCCGGCGGGTGTCACAGTCCACCTTTCGTTATCGATCGATGTCGATTTTACCGATTTTTATCGATTTTTTTGCAGAGTTCACCTACAGGGCTAGGAGTTGGCACAGGGGGGTAATCGAGCATGCCGATTACGAACACAATATTAGTTTTCAGGATCGTCCATTACTTTTATCGATTTTATCGATTTTTTTTGTAAAGTTTGACCTGCGAGGCTGGGATTTTGCACAGGGGTGTAATCGAGCATGCCGATTACGAACACAATATTAGTTTTCAGGATCGTCCATTACTTTCATCGATTTTATCGATTTTTTTTTGTAAAGTTTGACCTGCGGGGCTGGGAGTTTGCACAGGGGAGTAATCGAGCATGCAGATTACGAATACAATATTAGTTTTCAAGATCGTCCATTACTTTTATCGCTATTATCGATTTTTTGAAAATTTGAGCTAGGGGGCTGAAATTTGGCACAGGGGTGTAATCGAGCATGCTGATCACCCCCCTTGGGGATGATCAGCATGCTCGATTACCCCCCTGCGCCAACTCCCAGCCCCCTAGCTCAAACTTTGCAAAAAAATCGATAAAATCGATAAAAGTAATCGATAATCCTGAAAACCAATATTGTATTCGGAATCCCCATGCTCGATTACCCCCCTGTGCCAACTCCCAGCCCCGTAGCTCAAACTTTGCAAAAAAATCGATAAAATCGATAAAAGTAATCGATAATCCTGAAAACCAATATTGTATTCGGAATCCCCATGCTCGATTACCCCCCTGTGCCAACTCCCAGCCCCGTAGCTCAAACTTTGCAAAAAAATCGATAAAATCGATAAAAGTAATCGATAATCCTGAAAACCAATATTGTATTCGGAATCCCCATGCTCGATTACCCCCCTGTGCAAACTCCCAGCCCCGTAGGTGAACTCAGCAAAAAAATCGATAAAAATCGATAAAATCGATATCGATCGATGACGAAAAGTAGCCTATGACACCCGCCGGGGCCCGTAGTGTATGTGTGCCAAGTTTGGTCCGGATCGGTTCAGAAATGGAATTTTCTATTCGGAACATACGTACATACATACAGACAGACAGACAGACAGACAGACAAACAGACATTCAGCTTTATATATAAGATTCCAGGATCTTTACCCTTGGTTGGCAAGTATATAGCCGAAGTAATTGACGGCTTCGAGAAGATACCTAAATACGTTACAGCGTCATACATTGTTGGGTAAATGCATAGAAACCATGGATTCTTGAGTGAAAGTTCTTCTAAACAGGGTAATTTTACTCCTGACGATAGCGATATGCATAGTGGCAGGAATCGTTGACTATTATAATACCAATGTGAAAAAACAGCAACCCAAAGGTAAAATTCTTTCGAATTTTTTCAGACACTCGAGGTATTGCGAGTTACAGGCTTAGGCTACACTATCCTAATGAACTTTTCACTTTACAAGAACTGTAAATATGTCATTGCTCTAACCCCTGCGAAGGTGGGTTGGAAACCTTGATATTAAGTTGAGGTAATAAATTTTGTCGCATTTTTTGTTTCATCTAATTTTGTCAACGATACTGGCTTTGATTGGAATGATTTGTATGCTTTTGAAAGCTTCAAGTCGGCTTTGCAGGTCCATGCGCGTTATCTCCCAATTAGCAGGAAACTGAAAAAAAATTTTGGTATTGAAACAAAGAATCCGAGGAGGCGAGAAAAAATTTTTGGCATTAAAACAAAGAATCCGAGGAGGCGGACCTTATTCGACATCGTTTTTCTCTACAAATTTTCCCGTGTTTTGTTGCTATGCTGCATTCAAAGCTTGATAACAGACAAAACAACCTATCAGCCTCTTAGGCTTGTGAAATATTTGCGCTTGCTCACTTCCTTCCACCAAGTTTTCAATATCATTTCTCCAAAAGTCGGCGAAGCAAGACATTGTGCGGCGATTCCATCGTCTCGCAAAGCTGTGTGAATCCCAAACTTTTGAATTTTCGAGTAATCAACCTATAAAGTCAATGATTTTGTACCACTTTTTAGCACCCCTATAGCACTGCTAAAGCTATAGCATTTTTTTTCTTACGCCCGGCACATTTCTCGAGCTGTTCCTTACGCATTCTGGCTAATTTGGGGGGCGACGTAATTTAGTTGTCAAAATTGCTTTTTTCCACTTTGGTTTTCCAAGTGTAATAGAGGGAAATTCTTGCAAGTCTTCTGATGTAAGGAACTAAATGAAAATTCTGGTAGAGTTGGCTTAGGGCTTCTAAATGGAGGATATATTAGGTGGGTGCAAAAGTTCTGTCGTTTCATTTTCAAAAATTTGTAACTTCGCCAGATTTCAACGGATTTGCTTACTTGTAATTTTATTAGAAAGAATAGGTCTTCCGCTTTCAAGTTTTGTTGAGCTTCTGTTTCACACTGAGTGCCGAGATAAAAATGGAAAACTAAGACCATGTAAACTTTGACCATTTTAAGTTAGGTCACCAAAAATCTGGAATGCTGCAGAAAAATCTGAAATCGTCAGTGCATACGTTTTTTGGTCTACTCTTCAATATTGTGAAAAACTTGTGCTGTTTGAACGTCTCCGTGAGAAGTTATGAATATCGAGTCTACCATGGAAAACGCCAAAATCAATTAATTTGTGAATTTTCACGAAAATCATAACTTCTCACAGAGACGTCCAAACAGCACAAACTCTTCACAATTGCAAAGAGTAGGCCAAAAAACATATGTACTGACGAATTCAGATTTTTCTGCAGCATTCCAGATTTTTGGTGACCTAACTTAAAATGGTCAAAGTTTACATGGTCTTAGTTTTCCATTTTTATCTCGGCACTCAGTGTGAAACAGAAGCTCAACAAAACAGCGCTTGAAAGCGGAAGACCTATTCTTTCTAATAAAATTACAAGTAAGCAAATCCGTTGAAATCTGGCGAAGTTACAAATTTTTGAAAATGAAACGACAGAACTTTTGCACCCACCTAGTATATTAGGTTGGCACATAAGTTTTGCAACTTTTCCCGTAACCTTTTTCCTATTTTATATAGCAATCTCATTTTGTGGCATCATGTAGATCGTAATGTAAGCTGCAAGTCTGCGCAAACCGTTTGATTTTTGATAACGTAGTACAAAAAATCTAAGCATTTTTTGGAAACTGCTGAAAATCGAGGTTTCACGATTTTTTGGCAAACATAAAGCCCTACGAAACCTGATTCAAACATATGAAAAAGCAATTATAGGCAGCATGTAGCTGGAAGTTGGCACATTGGAATCAGCGAAAAAGAAATGAAATTCAAACACGGATTAAGGTGGGGCGCCTTTGAGAAGTTGAACAAGTCAAATGCGTCAAGTTTTGAAGGCAATTTGTCAATAACTAAGCTGCGAAAAGTCAGAATTCGCTATAACTTTGCACTATAGGGTAATCCTATGCGGTAAACACGAATATCATATTCATTTGTCGCTAAAATGAAATTCATCTTTTGATCTCACGAACGAGGCTTTTTCATGCGAAACGGATCTCATTTTTGTGATCAGCATGTCAAATAAGCCCTATAGGCCAAGTTTCAGCAAAACTGATGCATTCTAAAACTTTTCCCATAGTACCGTAAACCTACCGTAATCCTCACATAAGATGGTAAAATTCGGCAAAAATGTGTGCATTAGAAGCTTACATCATATTCCTTATATTGCCAAAAATTGAATGCGCTACGTTCAGATAGACAAAAGTTATATAAAAAGTTGCATTACTTATGTGCCAACCTAATACATTTTGCAACTTTTTATTATCCTTGCATTGTTCTTGTATGGAGTCTGCTGCTCTTTGAATATCAAGTTCAACGTCTTGCAATTTCATAGCAAAGAACAGCAAAAAATCTCTAATACTTCTTGCAAAATTTCTTGCAAAATATTGAGAAAAAACAAAAAAAACAGAACTTACTGCACAACCTAATCTGAAATAACTGGAAATCCTTGCATTCATCCTCTTATTAGTGAATTTCTGTCTGCGTATGTTCAACTCTCATTTGAATCAATTTTACTATCGCTTCATCAATTGCTTGCACCTTGATGCAGTTTTTTTAGAAAGGACAGATTAGTACACTGAATTGCATTCGCGCTGTGTCAATGATATGGATCATAATTGGTCACACATTTTCAATTTCGATGGCTGCCTTTGGTAAGATTTCAAGCTACTATCTTAAAGGCAGCGTCCAGGCAAGTTTGGACACATGGGGATCTCACGTGAATAGCAATTTTGGGGCCTTAACTAAGCCACTGTCCAACGCAGCTTAGGTAGTGCTCTAATGGCTGAGATATTCCCTTGAAACTGGACCCCACGATCGTATTTCGCATGGATTCATGGCGCAAAATGTGGGTCCTCGCGCGAAATTGCCATAAATCTATGCGAAATACGATCCCGGGGTCCAGTTTCGAGGGGGATATCTCTCAGCCGTTAGGGCACTACCTGCGCTGCCGCTTGAGCAGTGCCTTAGTTAGGGCCCCAAAAGTACTTTTCACGTAAAATCCCCATGGGTCCAGGTCTACCTGGATGCTGCCTTGAACCAAAAAAAACTTTGTCGACTATCTGTAGAATTCTTTAGAATGCCTGTACTTCCTCACCCCACTAAAGCTGGTCAGATTTGAAATTGAGCCTACGCATGTTTATTTTATCAATGCGAATTTTTTGTTCCTACATTTTTCCATCTTAATAAGAGTTTTTTGTTCCTACATTTTTCCGTAATGCAACTGATTTTCTTGTTGATGAGCGTTGCTTTACACTGCTGTGCTCTTTCCTTTGACTCTAGTTACTGGAAATTCTGAGAAAGCGATGAGACTTCTTTGTCGCAAGTTTTTTCTTGACAACTAGCGTGTGTTAGAGGCTTGCTTTAGTAATTCTTATGCCACAAAATTCCCATCTACATCATTTCTACGGCCTACCTAAATTCATAGTTACAGATACATGTAAGCACACCTGTATAAAACATCGCTCGACAGAAATTATCAATCAAAATTTAAAACAAAGTTTAAAGGCAAAAAATAGCATGTAGCGTTGAAAAACAAGAAGAAACATCATAAAACTGTGCGCTGGAAAAGTTAAGTTCAAGTTCGAGTTGCCCATTAGGTGTTCAGTGGGGTATGTCAAGTAATATTGCAATATTACTTGACTGCATGCGATCAACACCTTTCTTGCAGATAATCCCCTGGACGTTCGCGATATGGTTAAAACTTATTATGGACAATTTTTATCAAATGCTTACCTTTCTGTTGATTCCTTTTTCTTTCTCACGGGAGCACTCCTCGCTTTTCTCAAACTGAAGGTTAGCGTTTATGTTATTCTCATACTGAACTAACAGGATCAATCGAGGAATTCGAAGCAGAACACACAATACTTTCCGCTCGCGCATGGCTCAAGTTCTACGTTGGCAGAATTTTGCGGTAAGTGTAAATCTTTATTAAGATGTGAGAAGACAAAGCTTAGGGGGGTTTCGAACGCTGCGCAAAATCCTGCCAACGTACAGTACAGTCCTCAGATTACTTTGTTAAGAATGTCTCCTGCATACTATCTTTTACTCGTCTTCTACGGTTTCATTTTTACGTCGTGGTTATATAACATGCCTACGCTTATGACGCCTGGTCCTGTTGATGAAAGCTGCAGAAACAACTGGTGGATTAATTTTCTTTATCTAAACAATTTCATCAGATACAAAAATATGGTATGTGATGTTCTAATTCTGCTATTATACACTAATGTGCTTATCTCTTATTAGTCTAAAAATAAATTCTCCATGATTTTTTTCATATATAGTGCTTAGTGGTATCCTGGTACCTGGCAACCGACTTTCAAATTTATTTATTTTCACCGCTGCTTTTGCTGCCATTTGGTCTATTTGGAGCATTTGCGGGATTGGCTATGGCATCAGTTCTTCTAGTAATTTCAACAGGTATGATTGACTGCTTAATACCTCTTATTTTCTACTGTAACACGAGGTATGCTGAAGACATCACACAAACGAGAATCACAAATAATGCTGCTTTTACATTTTGTTAGAGTAAAATGGTATTAGGCCTTCACCAAGTGCTTGGTTGCGGTCAATGTAAGCATGTAATGAGGGTTGTCGACCAGCTTCCGTTGGGACGACGAACGGCACCTCGCGTAAGCTGTAAGGCGAGCGAAATATTTTACACCTACCCCCTAAAATCCCGCAGATAAGTCCGTCTTTTTGGCACGAAAAATCAATGAAAAATCGCCCTCGCGCCGCCAAAAGTCTCGAAGACAAGTCCGCTATCAGATAAGCCCGCCTACAGATAAAGCGTGACCTAAAAGCACGGACGCGCGCCACCTCCCGCGTAGCTTGCCGGTGTAGATTTAAACAAGGCCGCGATATCGCCTGAAAAAAGATCCAAAGGATTCGACAAGCTGTGCAGACTACTTGCTCACAGTATCGTCGCTGATTCGTCATCACATAAGCTGGATAGGTGAGTTCTTTTCTTGTTAGATATGACATGTTTGTTTTAATATAGGCTAACTACAACACATGCATCTTTTATAAAGCCTTTTTAAAACGTTGATCGTTGCGCATACTGTGTTCCACAGCAGTAACTGACATACTACAAGGACACAAACGGTTCGTAGTCTTGCAAAAGACAGCAGAGAAGTTGTTTTGGATATCACATTTGTGAGCGGTTCAAACTAAGCCGTGAAATCGCCTGAGAGGAACCGTCTGAGGACCTGAAAAGCAGTGAAAACTACTTGCTGAGAATATATCCGCGGTTTCGTCATCGCGTACGCTGGATAGGCGAGTTCTTTTCCTAGATATGACACTTGTACGAAATTGAGCGATTTTTGCCGATGGAAAGAATCATAATAGGTATCATCATTGTACCATTGTAATCATCTCATCTTATCATTGGTAGCATTCATTTTGAAAGCGACAATGTTCACGCATCACTTGAATTTGTGCGGGCTACAACCCCTGAACCTGACTGCGTATACTTTTTGCTTCCTCTATTGTTTACATGGTCTGAACGTAGTCTCTGTTGACCCACGCCATACGGCTTTTGCCAAATGCTTTTTTTTCACTATGGTTTTTGTCAAATGCCTTATTGTACGGAAGAGTGATAGTCTAAAAAAAACGCTCAACCCTAGCAAAGCATTAGGCTTCCTTGTTCTTCTTCTCAATTCTTACTTCTGTCGCTTTCTTCTGTTGCTTTCTCATTCTGGCTGTTGCTTTCTCAATTTAATTCTGTTGCTTGATTCATTTTGAGACCAAAAAAGGCAGCGCAATTGCGCACCCTAATGTTTTTCATCCGAAAAAAGAAGCGGACTTATCCGTAGGTCCTTGGCGGCGCGAGAGTGCATTTTCATCGATTTTTCGTGTCAGAAAGGCGGATTTATCTGCAGGCGGACTTATATGCGGGATTTTAGGGTACTCTCAAATGCAAAAGGGGGATGTCAGCTGAGTTAAAACATAAACAAGACATATTTTTCGAGTTCCGTCTGATTATTTATAAAGCCAGTAGGCGATCAAAGGTTGAAGTTGGCGGAGTTAATCAGAAGGAAGTCTTCTCGGCGAGCATCTTAGCTATTTGACCCGTACGGCATAGAATGAGGAGCAATATAAGGAATTATGTACAACAATTTTCGATTTCCTTAGAGTAAAATCTGGGTTATACTTGAAAATTGGTCATTTAATGCCTCCGTTGATCCTGTAGCATAAAAAAACGTTTTACGAATTTTGTAATCTAGGCGTTTTGTAGATTGAACGGACCATTGCAGACTCGATAGATTATGATCTACCCTATCTCACAACACTAGCGAATTGCCAAGCCTGCACTCTCAACTCAATCTATTTGGTACAACCTGATCAATATTGAATTGATTTGGTTTGGGTGATATACATCGGAAGCAAGTCGGTGTAGGTGATTGAACTCGCAAAGACGTGGTACCAATTCGCTTTCTGCGGATCCTTCTTTTCATTTTATTAGGTTGGCACATAAGTTTTGCAACTTTTCCCGTAATTTTTTTCTATTCTATGTAGCAATCTCATTTTGTGGCATCATGTAGATCGTGATGTAAGCTACAAGTCTGCGCAAACCGTTTGATTTTTGATAACGTAGTACAAAAAATCTAAGCATTTTTTGAAAACTGCTGAAAATCGAGGTTTCACGATTTTTTGGCAAACATGAAGCCCTAGAAACCTGATTCAAACATATGAAAAAGCAAGTATAGGCGGCATGTAGCTGGAAGTTGGCACATTGGAATTAGTAAAAAAGAAATGAAATTCAAACACAAATTAAGGTGGGGCGCCTTTGAGAGGTTGAACAAATCAAATGCGTCAAGTTTTGAAGGCAATTTGTCAATAACTAAGCTGCGAAAAGTCAGAATTCGCTATAACTTTGCACTATAGGGTAATCCTATGCGGTAAACACGAATATCATATTCATTTGTCGCTAAAATGGAATCCATTTTTTGATCTCACGAACGAGGCTTTTTCATGCGAAACGGATCTCATTTTTGTGATCAGCATGTCAAATAAGCCCTATAGGCCAAGTTTCAGCAAAATCTGATGCATTCTAAAACTTTTCCCATAGTACCGTAAACCTACCGTAATCCTCACATAAGATGGTAAAATTCGGCAAAAATGTGTGCATTAGAAGCTTACATCATATTCCTTATATTGCCAAAAAATGAATGCGCCGTTCAAATAGACAAAAGTTATATAAAAAGTTGCATTACTTATGTGCCAACCTAATATATGGCACACTTTTATCATCTCGTCGTCCGCGGCTTGTCGCATTTATCTCTTAGCCGCAAAGGCATCCGGCCTTTAGGCCTAAGGCATACCTTCCGCCATTCCAGTCGCTGCGCGATTTCCAGATTGACGCTGTGACGAATCGCGGGCTATTTTTGGAAGGGTATACTTTCGCCAACGATATCTTCGCGATATCGCTGGAATTGAGCGATGTCGCGTCGGTGCTGCACCAGCGATGGGCGAATCGCTCGGATGGCTTCTTCTTTGTAAGAAGATTTATTTTTTTTGCAAATGCGAATCTCATTTGGGAGTATTCCACCTCATACAAGCGCTTCCTCTCTGCATGAGAGAAAGTAGGTCATCTAACATTCCATACTATAACTTGAAAACAACACATGCGAAGTATATAGTATGGAATGCTTCCCACATGTCACCTCACCCACTGCTTAGCATTTACTTTCTTGCAATGCATTGTACTCTCCTGTTCTTGTTTATTGATAACATTAGCTGGCTTACCCGGCTCCGCCCGGCCCTGTCAAAAACGACAAAGGTTCCATTTCTATCCCTGTACACTTTTACCTGTGCACACTTCTACATGCAATTCCCTATTCCCGCTGTGTGAGTAATCAGTATGCCCACCTACCTTCCTCACCAACCCCCCAGCTCGCAGCCCAAACTTCGCGAAAAAATCGATAAAATCGATAAAAGTAATCGATAATCCTGAAAACTAGTATTGTATTCGGAATCCCCCTGCTCAATTACCCCCTGTGCAAACTCCCAGCCCCGCATGTCAAAATTTACACAAAATCGATAAAATCGATAAAAGTAATCGATAATCCTGAAAACTAGTATTGTATTCGGAATGCCCCTGCTCGATTACCCCCTGTGCAAACTCCCAGCCCCGCATGTCAAAATTTACACAAAATCGATAAAATCGATAAAAGTAATCGACAATTCTGAAAACTAATATTGTGTTCGTAATCAGCATGCTCGATTACCCCCCTGTGCCAAATCCCAGCCCCGTAGCTCAAACTTTGCAAGTCGATAAGATCGATAAAAGTAATGCACGATGTTAAAAACTTATATTGTATTCGTAATCAGCATGCTCGATTACTCCCCTGTGCCAGCTCCCAGCCCCGTAGGTGAACTCTGCAAAAAAATCGATAAAAATCGATAAAATCGATATCGAGCGATAACGAAAAGTAGCCTATGGCACCCGCCGGGGCCCGAAGTATATGTGTGCCAAGTTTGGTCCGGATCGGTTCAGAAATGGAATTTTCTATTCGGAACATACGTACGGACAGACATACAGACAGACATGCAGACAGACAGACAGACAAACAGACATTCAGCTTTATATATAAGATGTAAATGGTGACCAAATCTCGAATGTTCTCGCTATAGTTTCTGAAGCAGAATAGATGTACAATTTCGATTGCTCAAGCATATATGTATAATCGTTCGCAGACTGGCAGACAAGAGCTCGCGCAGCATTCGTCGTTAAAATGTGCCTACCCGTTTTTTGCAGAGCCGAAATGGCCTTTCTGTTACGAAGCTTATATGCATACCGTTGACTGAAAGAGTGTACTCAAGACTTTATGTTGTAGTCGATTTCATCGCATATTTAACTTGCGACGGTACAAAAACCTGGTAAATACGAAGATGAGGTTGAGTCCATATCCTTGCTCGTTTGCTACAATGTTCTCTGAAAGCATTTAACGCCACATTTTGTACAAAGTTTCCTGAATATGCACTTCAGACAAACTAATGCAAATTTTCCAAAAGTGCGTATAATGCGGTGTGGTATGTGACTGTCTACGAAATCGCTTTGAGTATGTCTGGTGTTCAAACGATGAGTGATTTTTACCAGTGAACGGTCGCCCAGGCAGCCGATTTGCAGCGACCAAAAATCGTGCGACGGTGTCACGACAAAGTATGCCTTAGACATTAAGCATGAACTGTTTAGGCGAAGACTCCGATGATACGGATTTGAACAAAATTAGCTCATTTGATTGTTTTGAACGCTTGTCAAATATGTATTGCAACACTGTCTAACTTCAGCAAAGAAAGTCTGCATCCATCATCAATGGTGCACGGAATTTGAGTGAAAAAAATCAAAGCAGGCGTGTGACAAGATTTTGATTTAAAGATAATCCACTTACCTAAGCTTGTCCGTAAGGGACCCGTCATACTTCGCCGAAAAATTCCTAAGAAAGGGCAAAAAGCCCGAAAAAGCCCAAAAAAGCCCAAAAAAGTCCGAAAGAGCCGAAACGCCTCTTCCGCTTTGACGCTAAGGCATGCGTGTTAATTTTGCAACCGAGTCTTTTTGCTTCATTTTCTGTCTTCTGCACATCAAAATAATGTCAGAAGTCTACAAAAGTTTGTTTCTGCGTTCCGGCTCTTTCGGGCTTCTTCCGGCTCTTTTGGAATTTTTCTGGCTTTCTTGGGCTTTTTCGGGTTTTTTGGGTTTTTTGGGCGCTTTTGGGCTTTTCCCGGCGAAATATGACGGGTCACTGACCCCGGATCGAAAGTGCAGCTCAAAAGCGCAAAACAGCGAAATAGAATTTTACAACCCTCTTGATTTGAATTTGCGCGTCTGGATGAAGAGACCGCCAGGTGGAATAGCGCAATAGTTGTGGAACCCCATGATGATACATAAGTGGGTGCGGTATGCTCAGCTTGACATGCAATTTAAAAATTCCCAAGTGTGCAGGTTCTGGAACTGAGGAGAATACCGCAACACTACTGCAGCAAACTTTAGCCTTTGTAAACGCTCTTTCTCGCACCGGAATCATTTATTGCTCTCTTGGGGACCTAGCATTGCAACGTATGAGATCCGCTACCCCCGTTTGCCGACGACTCTAGCAATAACCAACAAAAACGAAGGCGCAAATAACCGACAAAGTATGTCGCTTCAACAGACTTTGTTATATTAGGTTGTCGGATAATTTCTGTTACACTTTTTTCTAAAATTTCTAGAAAATTCCAGAAGCTTTCTAAAAACCCCAAATCTGCAACACGCTTAGGACATAGCAGGGTCTACCCACCAGCATGATTGATTCCGCAAGTACACTAATCACCAACAAGTTTACGGCAGTTTTGTATAAGCAGTCAGATTTTTCAGTTTTTTCTGATCTTTTCTCTGCACCTACTTTCGCTTTCCCTCTCTAGAATTTTTTTAGAACGTATTTTGGCATTATCTCTTACATGGAGGCATTGCGATACTTTTAGCGTTTCAAAGACGAGATATCAAAAAAATTCAAAACCTTTCCTAAATTCTTCTTTTTATATGCATCGTGCAGAAATGAATATAGAAAACATAAAAATGATTTTTTGAAATTTTTTGAAGACGTTTTCTTCGTAAAAATCTCGATGATTGCAAGAATGGCGCACACTGAGATTTGAACCGCTCAGAAAAACGTATGCAGACATGTCTGCGTTATCCCCCCTGTTAGCTAAACGCTACAGACTACGCCCTACCTACCACATTGTTCGGTCTATCGCTCATTACCTGAGAGAACGCCAGCTCATTAACAAAAATGGGAAGAAACGGATTTCTAGCCACAAAGTGAGTGTTTTGCGCATGGATCGCGGATGTGACGGTACCCTTGTATCAGTGGCGTACCCAGGATTTCCGCTCGGGGGGGGGGCGACGAAATTTTTTTTTTAAATTAAGGTGCGTGGCGTTAGCCACGCACCCAGAAAAAATTTTTGGTATACTTCTCAAAATTTTCGCGGGCCCATAACCACAAAATTTTAGAAAAAGGGGGGTTTTAAAAATTATTTTAATTACTTACAAGTATAAATAAGTCAGTTGCATATTTTTATAACTCATGTCAGTAACTTTCAAAAAGTTCGCGACCCATTCTCGGGGGGGGGGGGGATGCGCCCCCCCCCTCGGTACGCCACTGCCTTGTATAGGCCTTTTGACCTGCTCATACACCGTGGACATGAGATCTTTCCAAAGCTTCTGAAATTTTTAAGAATTAAAATAAAAAGTGTAACAGAAATTATCCGACAACCTAATAGTTCGAATAGAAGACTACGCATGATTTCACTTAACGGCTAGAAAAAACCAATGGCATACTAAATTCTCGGGGTGCACTTATGTAGTGCAACTGCATTTTACGCTCCATTCTAGCTATCTAGAAAACAGTCACCAAAGTGCTGCCATAAAAGAGACGATGCGAAAATATGGTCTAAAAAAATTATGAAAAAGAAAAAACACAATTAGACGCAGAGAAAAAAATCAAAGAAAAAATGACAATTTTGAGTGTGCTTATAAAGTGTCGTAAAGTTGCTGGCTAATTGTGCATTTGCGGCATCAATCATATTGTTGTCTACGCCCTGTCGTGGCCTACATATAGAGCAACTTTGAAGATTCTACAGAACTTCTGCAACTTTTACAAAAAAAGTATAACAGAAATTATCCGCCAACCTAATAAAAGAGCCGTTCTACAACTCATGATAAAGTCGGTCTAACATGTAAAGGTTGCTGCCGGGCGAAGGCGCAAACTTAGGAATGCGAACGCCGTTTTAATAGCAGCAATTTCGAGTGGATACGTCGGTGAATATAGTGAGTACCCTTGCCTCGCTCAATGCCTCTTACTGTTGCACGTGAACAAATGGTCTGGAATACCGTTGAGTTGTGCATGCAAAATGTCGGCATTTCAAGAGTACTTGTTTCTTCACGCGCAATTTTTCATCGCAAAATTTTGCCACCACAAGGCCACTCACTATGTTTACCGACAGTTCTGCTTGACAGTAACATCTTTCAGGGCTAAACATATTCCAAGTATACCATTTTTATCTTCCTCCCTCCAGCTTTCGATTAGCTCCGCAGGATCCACGAACGCCAAAACAGTATGTTTCACAATTTTGGAAGAAATCAATTCGCATAGTTCTGGCATACTGCTGCGCACTTCAGGGCATTTAAGTTCTGGATATATTATATGCCTTATATTAGATGTCAAGTCGTTATTATTGGCATGTTGGTAGGAACTCTGTTACAAAAAAGGAAAACTATGCGAATTAATAAGGCCAGTATAAAGTGCCATTAAAATGGCCTTGAAAGTACACAAGAAGCTTTGATTGTAGGTGCTAAATGTGATATTGTGGATACTTGCTTTTGCGAGTTTGGGCACAGCTCTGTTCGGATTGCACGATTGGATTAACGGTCATCAGTGGGAACTACTCCCTAGAGCAATGTACTCGGCTTTTTCGCGACCTCTTTGGGCTCTCGGATTGTCCTGGATGGTAATCTCCAGCTACTATGGTTATGGAGGTAGCAGCATCAAACGCTTTGATTCCTCTAAAATACAAACATTGCATGCGTTTTCAACACTGTGATGTCTTGGCCAATATGGCTCCCTTTCGCTCGTCTAGCCTTTTGCGCCTATTTGGTACAAATAATGGTGATTGCTATGCTATTTGGCATAGATCATGGATCACTCCATTACTCCGGCTTGTGCGATTGGGTAAGTAATGATGAGGTCCACACAGGTTTTTGATTCAAATGTTTTTGTTTGTTAGATGCGCTGAGCTTGAAGTTGTGGTCCAAAACTTGTAAAGATCAAAATGTCTTTGTGTATTACAATTTTGAATCATTATTATCAACATTATTATAGAATATCACTGATTATTATATTATTTTGATTTTGGGAGAGCCGGACGGTGTATCGCAGGCTAAAGTCTGAGCGTCAAGAGCGGTGCAAAGTCCGTATCTAATAAGGAAGACCTGCTTGATGATCGCGGCCATTCAAAGCGCTGATTTCAAATCTGCTCTTGCCGTCGCTAAGTTTCTGTCTGAATTAAGTTATGAACGTATTCGCCTTAAGAATTTGCACTGTTTCACTTGAACAAAACTACGAACATCGTTCAAATCTTTTGTTTCGATCCTTGGAACACTATTTGAAAGTGGACGCAATTGATTTAAGTTGGAATAACCTGTACCAGTGTGTTTGTTTTTGGAAAGTCAGTTATTATTTAACTAGCAATAAGCTTGGATGCAAAAATGATGCGGAAATAAGCCGTTGACTTATTTCGGACAATCCCAGAAAGAGGGCAGATTTGTGATCAACGTTTCAAGGTCCATTCACTAATATGTATTCTATCACGAATGGCCAAGGTCACCAAGTATCCTCTCCTTGTAAGTTCCGCGCAGCAGTGGCCGAAGAGAGGCAGAAAAACATATAGGTCGATATTTGTCTGACCGTTGTCTTCAAACCGTGATTTCCAATAAGAGTTGTTTCGTACTGGAGTTGCTGTCTTGGTGGGCATAAATATCGATTGATTGACTGCCGTTCTTCAGCGACAGCAATATGAAACAACCCTAAGTTTTAGTCGCTCTATTCTAGCTATCGCGTGCGACAAGTATCGCATTTTGGCGCTAATCTCTTCTGAAGCTCGTCAAAGTCACGTTAGTGGTAGCAGAAATTAATTGCTCATTCCTTTGAATCCTATTCAAATTATTTATGAAAGGTGTCAAAAGTAGATGAGGTGCTAAATCTTTCACCGGACAGCTGGAGGTTGAGTATAGTACCATTTGATTCAACTGTCTTGGCTTCGGGAAGGCGGGGCACCATAGCATAATTAAGGCTAGCTTTTGATCAGAAAGCACTCGCGCAAGAGAGCGAGCGGCCTTAATTAAGTCACAAAATCCCGCCTTCCCGAAGCCAAGCCAGTTGAATCAAAGGTTAAACATTAATTTTAAATCACTTCGCTGGGTAGTGTGCGAGTGCGCAACTATTTGAAATTCCGGGTGATGCCAGCAGTCCCGCCTGTGTCGTAGTTGCACAAGGGTAGACGTCTAATTTAAATGACGACAAAAACCTTTTTCTTTTTTTTGATCGCAACTATTCTGTTTGTAATTTTCCGCAGCCGCTGCTTTTTGTCGCTTTAGGAGTTGTGTGTACGTTCTGTGCTGATATATTCAAAGTTCTATTACCTATCGAAAAGCGAGGAAGATGCGCACTCGAATAGGATGGAGTTGCGGGTGAACTTATTGTTGCACTTCAGCATCCGTCATCATAACTCAGACAATCAAAGGGTTCCTTCATACTGCGCCGCGCACGCCGCGTACGCCACCTACGCCGCGTACGCCACCTACGCCGCGTACGCCGCGCACGCAGGGTACGCCGCGTACGCCGCTGCAGCGCAATGGAAATATGGAAATATGAAGAAGAGGAATCCTTTTCATCCAGTGATGTGTTTGTAAGGAGATGTTAACAGCGCAAATATACAACCAGATACAACATACAACCATACAACCATACAACCATATACTACCAATACACAACCGATGACGCAATGTGCAGTCAGTTACGATACAAAATGTGAAACTCAAAAGTAGAGGGAGCACAACAACCTAAGTCATTTCATCAATCATTGATATAGACAAAAAGAAGAGACAGCATAAACAAAGCAAAAGAGAAGAAGAAATGCGTAATGTGAAGGAACACTATTGAGGGACACGAATGTGCAGCAAACATAGAGATAAATCAAAAAAAAAGTGGAACTCTGCTGCCGTGAGCATATTTCCATTGCGCTGCAGCGGCGTACGCTGCGTGCGCGGCGTACGTGGCGTACGCGGCGTACGTGGCGTACGCGGCGTACGCGGCGTACGCGGCGTAGTATGAAGGAACCCAAAGGCTCTCAGCCTCACCAAAAGCGCCGTTGCCTTATCGCCGCATTTCCCCTTCGCGCTAAAGACTTTATGGCAGCCCGCTTGCTGCCAGTCCTAGCAAAGTTTCTTAGCGGGAAGCGAAAATGGTGGCAATAAGGCAACGCGCTTTTGGTGGGGCCGGCTGAGAGCCTTTGATGGTCTGAGAAGCGAATAGAGTAGTCCCTAGGTGAGTCTTACTTTCAACTTACTGTTGACTAGTAACGATGTTTTACAAAAAATGGAGCTTAGTTGCTGATATTGATAAGATGAGAACCAGAAGTCTAACGTAAGGTTTATCTGGGGACTACAATACCCAGTCATGAGGGAGAGTGCTTACAGAACTTACAAAGCAGTCGGGAGCACCATCTCCGCTCCCGCGCGCGCTTCTCCTGGATTCTGCATCTCTTTCGTAAACATGCTCCTGCACTTTCCCAACGCGAGCGCGGAAAAGGCGGAGACTCAATCGTTTGGATATGACTAGAGAGCACGTTCGCGGAAGAGGTGAAGTCTATAGTTAGAACCGAATATTTTTTAAGTACTCATATTCGAGTCGAACTAGAAAAGTGGGATATTCAGGAAAGTGATTCATTTGATTATTCGAGTAGTTCAATAAATAAAAAAGACTTATTCAACAGTTGTTTACTCCACCAGTTGAAAAACAACTTATTCGAAAATTATTTGAATATTCGAATATTACGATAAATTCTGAGTAAGTTGTTTTTTTTGATTAGACGAATGAACAAATATCCGATTAAAGGGTTTCTTTCATTTATTCGACTATTCGAATAATGAGATGAATGCACTTTCCTGAATATTCGATTTTTCTAGTTCGAATAAGTCATTCGACTACGAATGTTCGAAAAATATTCGGTTCTAACTATACGACTGCGCATTACTCTCAGCTATCTGTAAGAATAACACAGAGAGACGCAGAACGGCACATACGACCTCCAAGGCAGCAGAGTGAAGAATAGCCGCTGTGGAAGCAAAAGAAAAACGAAAAAACAACGAAAGCAGATTTTGATGTAATTTAAATTAGACTAGCTTTATGTGCAACTACGGCAAAGGCGGGCCCGCTGCCATCCGAGATTCCAAGCTTTTGTGACTTATGATTTTAGAAGGAGGTACGCCTCACAAGTTAAAGTTCGTATATCAGAAAGAATATTGAAGAATATATGCATTGACTCACTAGAACTTTCTCTTTTGCAAATATATACTGTGCAAGCGTTCACATTCGGACAGTGATTTCGAAAAACACCCGAGAATAGCTGCATGTTCACCTTCCATCAAGGCGATGTTGTGGACAGTATGATTCCAGATAACACTTAGGGTTCCCTCATAGGTAGGTGCCAGAGTAAGCGAATATTTTGTTCAAGTTGGGATCCCGCGCAGAATGGACGTCACTCACCATGCTGGCGTCAATCCAAGTGACGTCAATTCTGCGCGGGACCCCAACCTGAACAAAATATTCGCTTACTCTGGCACCTACCATACTACGCCGCAGGACTCGGCAGCACGCAGCAGCACGCTGCGTCCTGCGGCGTGCGCCGCTGCACTCGCAGTGGAAATACACGCTCAAGGCAGCACAGTTTTGCCCGTTATGGATGTATATCTACATATTTGCTGCACGTTCGTGTTTTCCCAAAGTGTTGCTTCACAGCGAGTAAACTTATGTTTTCACTGCGACTGCAGCGGCGCACGCCGCAGGACGCGGCGTGCTGCTGCGTGCTGCCGCATGCTGCTTTGCGGCTTAGTATGAAGGAACCCTCAAAGACCGTCCACCCAGATTCTCGACTTCGATGTTTTGGTCATTTCGGGGCCTTTTCATCTCCCTGATTCCGAATGAAGCTGGAAATCCGCAAATCTTCAACAATCCCCGTACCAGAAAGCCCGCAGGCCCATTCTACGGAACTGTGATTGGACGGGCGCGCAGGTATGGGCGGGCATTACTGGAGGGAGGGGGGGGGGGGATGCCGACTCAGGGCCAAACGCCTCTTCGCTATGCCGGAGCGATTTTCTCGCTTCCGAAGCGACATTTTGAGCCGTTGAGCGTTGGCTTAATAGGGGGTTCAACTATTACAAGCTGCCAGAAGCCCAAGACCCCTAACTTAGGGTGGACAGTGCCTTTAAATTTTTACGATTAGTATCTGCTAGCGATAGTTCAGACTTTCTTACAAATGTTCCTATAAACCAAGTTTGAAAAGAAGTTTTCGAATGTACAGAGTGATATGGAACTGTTTTGCAGTTTAAAAGCACCTCGATTCGAGTTAACGCAAATTGGGTTCGGAAGTCAATTTTTCAGCTAATTCGTGCGGCTTTGCCTAACATCGTACTTACCTTCGCTGTGGCTTTATTTTGGACTTGCATGTTTGAGCTTCCCTTTCAAAAGGTAAGGCAAATGCTACGTCGGGCCTGCTACATGTTTAAATATGTGAATTTAGTTGGCAAACATGGTACTGGGTAAGAAGAAGCGATCGCCTGCAATTAAGCCTGTTAATGGTGCTGGAGTTTTGGAAGAAGGGAAGTCTAAAACAATGAATTGGACTTAATATATAAATATTGTAAATAAAGACTATTAGAATACAGAAGTTTTTTTGCTGCACAATTAGCAAGCTACATGTGATGATGGTTTGAAGACAATGGACAAACCCACTGGATTGGAAGTTAGCTACACACTCTCTTTTCATTTGCCAAGCTGTCTTCTAACAAGGGACGGATACTTGGTGACCTTGGGCTTCTGAGATGAAAAATACATCATTAAATGCATTTTGGGGCGCTGATATCAAACCTGCTTTCGGTATTTGCTGTGCGCTCTCTCGAAAGAAGTTATGACATTTCCTGCCACCAGAATTTGCACTGTTTTGATGACAGAAATCACCAAAATAGAATGTTCATTACGCACTACAAAAAAACGTTGAAACTAAATACAGCTTTACATTAGGCTCAAAAAAAAAACTGTCTCCGACATATCAGAGTCTAAAAAGCCTGACTACTGATAGATCTGACTGCCTAGGCTTCGCGAAAATAATATGGAAAAAAGTCCATAACTTCATTTAGAAAGTCGCACAGCAGAGAGTGAACACAGATTTGAAATCAGCGTTTCAAGACGCATCTACTAGTATACATTCCATTGCAAAAGGCCACGGTCACCAAGTATCCTTTCCTTGTAAGACTTATGGCCGTAAGGTAATATTAACACATTGACAACCATGCAGATTTTTAGTTGTCTGCCTTTTAAGACCAACGCCTTTTTACGGACTAGCCCACTTTCTACTGTACACCTACAGTAGATCTGAAAGGCTGGCAAAATTGGTAGAAGTCATCCCTAGATTCCAGTGGCGGTCCCAGGATTTCGGAAGGGGGGGGGCGACAAAAAAATTTTTCTAATGGAGGTGCGTGGCGTTAGCCACGCACTCCGAAAAATTTTTTGGGGTGCTTCTTAAAATTTTTGCGAGTCCCCAACCCCTAAAACCTGGAAAAAGGGGGCGTGGCGTCAGCCACGCCTCCGAAAAAATTTTTTATGTAGTAGAACGCGTTGAGTCGTTGACGATTTATTAGAAAAACACAAGAGTTCCCCCTCTGCCTATCGGCGTACATACCGAGGGTTCACTAGAAATAGCTCAGGAACAACACACAAAATATATCAAAGTGCGGCGGGTACGCCGCAACCACAGAAACCATATCGACCTAGCCTATAGTAAGCGAGCAAGTTTCAACATAAGGGACGGCTCTACAACACCTCCCTCCTAAGATGAACAACGGTACATCTTACAAAAAGGATCTACTTGTAGACGTTCTGGTGGGCGACGATGGCGACTTGGTCTGGTTGATGACGTAGTTGAAGTTGCATGGCGTTCAGCGATGTCCATGCCATTGTCCAATCGGTCTTCTTCGGAACGCATGGTGTGCGATGAGTCACGACGGCGATCCATACTTGATCCACTACGCATCTGGTTCGCATGTCGTCTCCATAACTGGTTGTCTTCCGTAAGCACATCGTATACGGCTTTTCCGTAGCGTTTCTTCACACGCGCTGGAATCCATTTTTCACATCCAGAGCGAAAATCACGTACCCACACGTCTTCTTGTGGTTGGTACGCTTTCTTCCGTGCTCCATGATGACTGTTAAACTGCTTCTCCATGGTTTCATTGGCCAACTTTCCTTCTTCTTTGGAATCTTCATCTAACAGCGACAGCGGTGTCCTTATCTGACGTCCCAGCAACAGTTCGGCCGGCGAAAGTTGTCCAGGGGTAGACGTCGAGGGCGTTCTTCGATAGCATTGCAAAAATTCTGCTAGCTTCTCTGCCGTCCCTCCCTCCTTGATTTTCTGAAAAGTCCTCTTGAAGATATCCACAAACCTCTCGGCTTGACCATTCGATTGTGGATGGAACGGAGGGGAGCGCATATGCTTGATTCCTTGCTCTTCACAGAAATCTTAGAATTCCTTTGCCGTAAACTGTGTTCCATTATCCGACACGATTACTCGCGGATTTCCGAATCTTGCGAAGAGTAGTCTGAGTTCCTTTAAAGTTGCAGCGGTCGACGATGACGACATTTCCAGCACTTCCGGCCATTTGGAGTACGCATCGACTACGACAAGATACATCTTTCCATTTAGTGGTCCTGCATAGTCAATGTGGATTCGGTTCCATAGTTTTTCTTCCATTTTCCATGAATGCAGTACAGTCTTCACTGGCATCTTGGCTGCTTCTTGACATTCCCTACAGCGGCGCACTGAGTCTTCGATGTCTTTGTTGATGCCCATCCGTATGCGAATCCTCTCGCGAGCATCTTCATCCTTGTCATTCCAGGGTGTCCCTCGTGTAACTGCTTCAAAACCTCTTGTCGCAGCGAGACTGGAATAACTATTCTGTGGCCAAAGTACAAACATCCATTTTGCACTGATAAACTCTCGCCCAGTGCTCTCCAGTTTCCGATATTTCCGGCTTGGACGGCCATGCTCCCGACTGTAGCATTTGTATAACCTGCAGGATGTTTTCGTCCTTACGGGACTCCTCTTCAACCTTACTCCTGGTAACTGGTAGCGCTCGTACAGCCTCGCTTGAACAGCTCGTACATCTTCTTCTATCTTCGCGATCACGATGTCTTCGGTTTGGAATGGCCTTGTAGGGATCAGTCGGGACAATGCATCCGCTTGTCCGAATTCGGTCGTTTTCTGGTACTCCAGGTCGAAGTCGTATGCGAGTAGAATAAGCTTCCATCGTTGCAGCCTGTTCGCTGTATACACTGGCACCATCTTCTTAGGCTCCCGCCAGAGTGCCGAAGTTATGCCAGCGCTACGCCAGCATTTCGATCGATACACGTGTATTTCGTTGGGGCGGGGCTAGCTGACGTCCCCAACGAAATACACGTGTATCGATCGAAATGCTGGCGTAGCGCTGGCATAACTTCGGCACTCTGGCGCGAGCCTTAGGTCCAAAAATGTGCAGCAACGGTTTGTAGTCGGTCAGCAATTTGAATCGACGTCCATATATATACCGATGGAACTTACGGACTGCAAAGACCAGTGCAAGTCCTTCTTTTTCAATCTGTCCATAATTCTTCTCGGCAGCAGTGAGGCTTCGGCTTGCATGGCAGATCGCCTTTTCCGTCCGTCCGGCATCTTGTGTAAGATCACAGCCCCAATTCCATAATCCGATGCGTCTGCAGCTACCACTATCTGCAAGCTAGGATCGAAGTGTGTAAGGAGTAGATCCGAGGATAAAACTTCCTTAGCACGCTTGAATGCGTTTTGGCATTCCTCTGTCCATTCGAACTTTGCGTCCTTTTTGAGCAACGCGTCCAAAGGTGCACGAAGTTGACGCATCTCGGCCACAAATAATCCATAGTAGTTTATCATGCCCAGGAATGAACGAACATCTGCTATGTTCCTTGGAGCTGGCATTTGCTGGATGACCTCAATCTTCTTTGGGTCCGGCCGGCGTCCGCTCTTGTCGATGATGCAACCTAAGTAGCAAATCTGTGGCATCAGAAAGTTGCATTTTTCCAACCTGACATGAAATCCATAGTCCTTGATCCGCTTGAAAAGAGCTTCCAAGTTTTGGCGATGCTCTTCGTAACTCCTTCCCGTGATGATGATGTCATCGAGATAAGCGGCTACTCCATCAAGTCCGCTTATCATAGAATCCATAATCTGTTGGAATATGCCTGGCGCGGATTTTACTCCAAAAGGTAGGCGATTGTAGCGGTACAATCCCTTGTGCGTATTGATGGTTAGCATCTCTCTCGATGCTTCTTCAACTTCCACCTGTAGATAAGCTTCGGCCAGGTCGAGTTGTGTGAAGAGCTGGCCTCCGTTTAGTTTTGCGAACACCTCCTCTGCCGTGGGCAATGGGTGCTGATGCAGCTGCAAAGCATCATTCAATCCTGTCGAGAAGTCGGCACATAGACGAATTTTGCCATTTTTCTTCTTGACGGCGACCACTGGCGCGGCCCACTCTGAGTGTTCGACCGGAGAAATTCCTTCGGCTACCAAGCGATCGATTTCGGCTTCCAGTTCCGGTGCTGACGCGTAAGGCACCGGTCGCTTCTTCTTGAAGACCGGAACAGCATCGCTCTTCAAGACTAATTTTGCCTTACTCTTCGTGCACTTTCCCAGGTCGCTGTTGAAGACTTCACCATACTTCTTCTTCAAGTCGGCAACCACTTCGGCTCGGAACTTCTCTTCGCTAGTCACCTTTCTGCAATGGTAGTTGTCCTTCAGCTTTTTGTATGCCGGCAGCTGGATGCACCATTCCAGTCCCAACAGATTCGAGCCTTCGGTGACGTAGCATTTTGCCATTTCCACGAACCATCTTCCCTGTAACTCGATCTCTGACGGAAAAGTCGGTCGAGAATTTACCATGTATCTGCATTGGCGTTCCGTCTGCGGTTTTCACAGGCATCATACAGGGTTCCAGAGTAGGCGATCCTATCTTCTTCCAAGCTCTACGCGATATTTGATAAGGTCGATCACGCAATACTTTTACAAAAGCTAGAGCGACTTGGATTAGGAGGTAATCTTTTGAAGTGGCTTAGATCCTACTTGAGTAACAGAGGCATGACGGTCAGAGTGGGATATCACTTCTCAGATCGACATGCATGCGTGAGTGGTGTTCCACAAGGTGGCGTCCTTTCTCCGTTACTTTTCTTGATATATACCGCCGAGCTTCCGTCAATCCTGATCACATCCGCTCATGTTCATGTACAAATGTACGCGGATGACATCAAGATTTACGGATGCTACAGTATAGAGAATCGTACTGAGGTCCGCACAGCGATAAGGAACTCATTGGAAATTTTGATGCGCTGGGCAGTTGCTTCTGGTATTCCTCTCAACTTAGACAAATGCCTTGTCATGCATTTTGGTGATGAGGAAAGTCCGATTTACGAGATAAATGGGAAGACGCTGAAGAACTGTTCCATTGCTAAGGATTTGGGCATTCTGGTTGATGCTGACCTCTGCTTTTCGAACCACATAGACAAGGTGGTAAGCAAAGCGTACTCGACTTTATTCACAATCCTTCGGACTATACACATAGATAACCC